ATATTTTAAGTTTTTTTATCTAATTGTTGGCATCCATTTTGTGTGAATTGCTTATTGTTATAAGAGGTAAATCCACACAGATTTTTGGATTTTAGATAGGTACTGCTGCTCTGGCTTTCAAAATCAATTTTTAGTGTGGGAATATTGGACCATTTGCTCTAAATAGAGTCGGTGAGAACCAAATTTGTGAGTCCATCCCCATTAACTCTATTGAATCCAGGCAGAAGCCTGAACAACCATTATCTGTTTGACTCCCTAAATTATTATCTAAACTGAAGGGTGTAATTTTTTAATAGAAATCCAGACAGGTCAAAAATTCTTTTAAAAAGTTTTAATTAAAACATCTCAAGAATTTTAACACATTTTGGATTTGATTAATTTCAACCCTAGGTTTATCTAGTATCTGTGGTAGCTACCTTGATTCGAGAGGAGAATTTTGTCTATTTAGGGGAGAATCCAGAGATTTAATTCCTTATTTTTTTGTACCTACCTTATTTTTGCTCGTATTTTGCCTGCCAGAACTGTTATCAAGAAAGCAGCATTCTGCTCAATTATAACGAGCATTTTAATAATCTTGTTATCATTCTAATTTTTTTTATTATCTTACCATTAATCTTAATTATTTGATTGTTCTTTTTTATATTAAAATATATATTTTTTTCAACTTGGAATAACTGTTCATACCTGATTCTGTTGGAAGGGAGTGTCTGTACAACTACAACAATCATTTTATATTAAATTTCAATTTAAATTTTCTCTGCAAGACACTCACCTTTTTGACAGAATTCAGGGATTTAATATTCCAAATATTGGTGAACCTGATACTGGCTTATTCTTTTCTGGGTACCTACTCTACATAAAGATCATTGTTTGGAGTCTGGATCAGCTGGAGTGACGTCACCCCAGCAATCTATCCTCTTCCTGGATACAGGAAACAACACGAAAAGCTCCAGTTCACGAAAGTGAAACCTCAACACCCATTAAAGAGCTCCGGATTGGAAAGCAGGTACTTGGTATCAGATTCACCAAGAAAAACCAAGCTGTTAACATTGAAATTTTACATAACATTGTAAACAAAATAAAATAAAATAATTGTTTGTTGGATGTTGAGTGGTGTCATTTGCACACAAAGGGGCTACACGTTATCTTAATTTTTCTTTGAATTCACTACCCTAGGTTATCTTTTTTCTTAAAGTATACAAGTTCCAATTTTATTTGTAACACCTGCTATTTCTTAGCCTACTATTAACATATTTGAGAATGGAAATAGTGTCCTAACAAGTGCGCAAAGTAGTACTTTTTCGCACGCCAGAGCAGTTAGACGAACGACGCAAAGCGGAGTTCGGATAGGCTTTCAGTGCGGGAAAGAGACTTTGCGCAAGTGTTCGGAACAATATTTTTCCTACGAGCTTTATATCACATAGCAAAAATTAAAAAAATATTAAGGCGACGTTCCGTAAGTTAACCAAGATTCTTGGTTTTTCCAGTTCCCGTTCCGTAACCTAACCACTCCTGAAATCTGGTCAGGTTATGAAACGCGGTTCCTGAAAAATTGGGTCCCAACTGTCAACCGGATTTACCGATCATAAAGCTTGGTTTTTTCGGTTTGTTTTCAATTTCTGACATTTCGTCGTTAATTTGACAAAGGGTCGTATATGAGAAATAGACGATTTTTCGTTTTCAGGGAATTTATGTCGCAAAACATCAAATTTATACGCCCTCTAATTGGCGCATATGAACTGCTAGTAGTTTCTGAGTTATACACATTTTTCTTACTAAAAGGCGTATATCATATACGCTTGTAAAATTTGAGAAATTCAATATACGCCCATTAGTGAAATTAACGACGATTTGTTTATTAGGTTAGGTGATAATATTTTAATTTTTTTATTATTCTTCCGCTTTCAACATGTATTTGCGGTGAAAATGGGACAAGAGGTGAATACTATAGGCCTGTTCGCACAGCAATCACAAACCAGTCAGAGCGAATTTCATTGGCTGGAAACAGTCAGAAAACTAGTTTCAACCAATGAAATTCGCTCTGACTGGTTGGTGATTTCTGTGCGAACAGGCCTTATATTCATTCCTGACAACTGCTTATTACAAATATATTTTTAAGACGATTATATTCTATCATCTAGCATCTAAGCCAAACCAAAGCCGAACCGACGCGTTCCACACATAAACCGCATTTTCAGGAACCAGACTGTTACCATTGACGAACCGCTTCTTACCGATCGGTAACCATTCGGTAACTTTGGTTAAGATACGGAACGCCGCCTAAATATATTTGGTATTTGCATAGATGTTTGCTGATATACAGACGGAGGAAAAATCTGTCATCATGTGTCAAAGTCGAAAAGGGCACTTTTGCAGGCCTTTTCGGAAACGCTGATATCCTTTGTCTTTTTTCAGTCGTATTCATTAAAGGAAGATAAAATACAAACAGCTGGTGATCGGGTTTATCGGATCAGTGTTTCCGAAAAGGCCTATTGTTGCTTGACAATTAGTTCTGTTATTTGGCACTCAGTGCGGAAAAAGATCTTATTCACCCGGAGTGCTGAAAAGTGTAACTTTGCGCATGGAATTGCGTGCGGAAAGGTACTATTTTACGCACGCTCGCAGGACAACGATATTTCACATATCACCTGGGTGATTGCCAAGCAAAAGTAAGTTTTTGTTGTATTTGACATCTATTTGTACATTCTCTTTATCATCCTGAGTCGCTATGAGTGTTAATGTCGGTTCTACTAAACGTGATAACTTATAAAAGTCCAAATTAGAAATTACCAGCAAAACTGAATAATTCCTCCTTAATTCTTTGCGGTGTAGCATTGTCATCAAATTTTTCAACCAATTTAGATTTCAAAGGCATAATTTTGTGGGGAAGTGGGCCACTTCACGTTAATTTTTTCAAAATATGTTGGGTTGAAATTGTTGAAAATTGCTTTATCAGCACAAAGGTGTATCTATATTTTCAACATTCGTTAGACATTGGCTCATACAATGTTTAGAAATCATAAAAATGAAAAATTAATATTTGTATAAATTGAACTCACAAAATAACAATTATTCAACTCACTTGTAAATGCTCCTTTGGACACACAAACTAATCACAAATTGGATTGAACAATCAGTTTAGTACAAATAAAAATAAAAATTGAATAATGTACAATGGCAGACAAGCGTCTTAAGGGACCAGCCCAGCTTCTTCTCTAGTCTAGTCGTCTAGTTCCCCACTCTCTTCTACCTACCATTTCGGTACGCTTTTCGTTGCGGCGCGTCCATATGGCGCGGCATTACATGGTTGCAACATTCACCTTTATTCATTGAACGCTTTTTTAAAAAGTTAAGATTCAAAGAAATAATATTTTAAATAGGTGGTTTTCCTCATTACTGACAACTGCATGGACATGCCCATTTTGCGTAATTTCTGGCCTCGGGTCCCCACGCTTTTAGAAATTCTTTTCTTTGAGAATCTATAAGCCGACAACATTTGCAGGTGTTTTCCAAATATATCAAAGATTCGCGCCCGGATGCCGCCATAATAATTATAAATCCGTTCAAGGAGACATTTTAAAATTTAATTTTTATTTTTCTCGGTACGAATACATGTTACTTTATCTCTATTTAAATTCCTGTCTCAAAGGATGCCGCCGGTAATAAACTACATTTGGATCAAGGCAAAACGTTGAATAGATTTAATTAATAAAATAATTTTTCAAGCAACTGAACTCGTCTTTTGTGAGTCATTACAAGTACTTTTATATTATGCAGGGCACAGGTGGCGATTTTTGTAATACCGCCTTGTCCATGTTCTGTAGATATAGCTACTATTTCTGGAACAACACTATTGATTTATAATTTGATTGATGCCATAAAAGCAAATACATCACCCCAATAAAAAAGTTCCCTCCCCTTTTTCTCTATACACAACAATGCAAAATATGTCCCTCGCTCCAGATAGAAAGCGTCGTCTTTAGCTGGAACGCATTGTCCTTTTTTTAAATATGCTTAACGGTCGATTAAACCGCACAGAGCAAATCGCTGCAAATAATGCGTTTGCCGGATCCGCAGAGCACATTTCTCTTATGCCAGGTTATCATTTAGTCGCTCCAGCCAGGAAAAAGTTTTTGGCCGAAGCATTATTTTCCGCTTTATATAAATGCGATTTCTGTGGCTTTTATAGAGCCGTAAATTTAAATATCATTTGTCATTTGACTGCTGACTGAAGACAAATGTTACCATTGTTGCACTTTTCGGTGTTCTCTCGGCACTGAAAAATGGACAAATCAAGTGCAGTTAGGCCCCAAGTCGACCGACTAACGACTGCAGGCAGGCCCCCAAAGTGAATAATACAAGACAAAAGGGGCTCCGTCTGGACCTGATATTAGTAGCAACGAAAGGGCAGGAAGGACCTGGTGATGGATGGCAGCAGGGTAACGCCTACAGTAGACCCCTCCTGGCACTGACCGACCACAGGAATTGCTGCCCTTTCGTCACAAACTTTACGTTTATTGGAAAACTGAAAACATCACTAATCCATCTCCTGTGAAGAATTATAAATTGCCTCATTAAATCAATTGACATTTACCAGCCCCCAAAAAAAAATAACATGTAATCACTCATAGTCAAGTGCCCAAAAATATTTGTACTCGGAGCTATGATAACTAATGCTAATTAGTTGACTTATTATATTTGCATAGTTTCAAGCCAGATGCCAGTTTATGAGTTTATCGCACATTATATCTGAGCTATTGGAAAATGATTACCAATTATTGAAAAAAAAATTATAATATATTATATTTTTTTGGTTTGGGAATAAAGGGATTAGTTCATAATTACTGATTATTATCAAAGCAACAGGCAGCAAACTAATTATTATTGGTACTTGATTTTTGATTACGAAATCTTGCGTTATCTGCATTTGGATATTGTTAAACACTTGCCAGATCCTCCCACATTTGAATCAATCAGATTCCAGTGGTTTGAATAGACGACTAGCCGATGGGTTCGGAAAGTTCTAAAAGTACCGTGGTACGTGGATTTATTTATAAAAATGTCCCACAAGTTTTACCTTTTGTTGCTCTAGGAACGAGTCGTCGTAACTGAATCACAACTAATAGGATTTGAGGTGAATAGGAAGTTATTTTTCTGGATAATTTTGCTTATATCCGTTGTGGCACTTTTGGGCAATCTTTTAACCGTAAGGACTGTTATTTATAGGTAAGATATTTGACTCATTAGTAAGTGCCTATTTCATATTTCTTTTAGGAAATACAAGTTCCTTCAAAAAACATGCATCATTTCCTTAGCCGTTTCGGACATCCTTACTGTCACACTTTTTGCCATGAATAATTTAGAATTGCTCAGAAAGAAACCAATGACATGGGTAAACAATATTCAACAACTAACTATCTACTGAATAAAATATTTTCTAGATCTACGGCGAAAGCATGTGTCACGGTATACCCATAGGTCAAATTTTAGGCAACCTAACCAGCTCTTTGGCCCTATTAGTTATAGCTGTGGACAGGTACCACAACGTCATACACGCCTTAAGCAAAAAATGGAATCCAGCTCTATGGAAATGCCTCACAGGAGCTTTAATTCTATGGATAATATGCTTAGGATTATCCTATCCAGTAGTCACATTTTATCTTTACATCCCTATAATTCTTGAAGGCGAATACACGGCTATGTGTTCGGGAGCTCCAGTGACAAAATCCGTAATATTCATCTACTACATTTGCATGAACTGTTTGTTTTTTATTCCAATAGTCACCATGTTTTTTTGGTTTTACTATAAAATCGCCTTGTTGATATGGCGTCATAGGAAACCACCTGCAGACAGTTACAATCACCCGGAAATTACTGAAACTTCCACTGGCACAAAACCAGATTTTTCGACCAACGGTAAACTAGTGGCTAAAAAGAAAAATATGCAAATGGAACGGAAAATACGCAGCTTCAAAATAGTTTTAGCTCTAATTGTAGCTTTTATTGGATGCAGATTACCATATTGGATGCTGCTGCTTTATCAGCAAGCAAACGTAGTTGACAAAAATCTAATGTGGACCATGAGATTTTCAGCTATATCGTTGTATTTGTTGAATTGCGCCCTGAATCCTTTTTTGTATACATTTTTGAATATCACAATAATAATTTGCAAAAAAGCTAAGAAATTTTTAACAACCACTTTGTGTTGTTGGTTCTCGAATTCGGACTTTGAAGACTTTGAAACTGGTAAAGGTATGGAGTGCGGTTTTGCCGCAAATGATAACAATAATGAAAAGTCGAGTGCTGTACCGGTTAAATTTATTGATGTGCCTAAGTTTAATCAAAGAGAAATAAACTAATTTATTATTTGAGTCTATTTTTTTTGAAGAAAATGGCTCATCACAGCCTTATGAATGATGTAACATAAAGGGATGTTTGTCTGGAAAAGTAAAGTCATGGTCATTGTATCTATGCGAAGATATCGAACTCATAAATTTTGCAAATTTTTCGAGATATTATAAATTATTCAAATAGCTACACAATATAGATGCAAAAGGTTGGTTCTCATTATCATTATTTATAATCTGAGTAGGACATGGTCTGACAAACCTGGGATATACGATATACGAACAAAAGGTTCTCAAAAAGAAACCTTTTTTTCTATAGACAAAACCCTATAAATTACCCAAAAACTTCCTGTTCCTAATCACAAAAAAAAGTGCTCTAAATCAGACCTTTTACAAAAGCGAGCATACATAAAAAAAAAGCCCACCCCCTACAAACCGAGATATATTAATTATAATCCCGGATTCGCTTTTCATACCAACCACACACCGAGAGATAGATACTCTCTCCCTTTCGTCCTTTTGTTTTCCAGACGTTGACCTCCCCTCCTCGTCGCTCATATCTTACACTCGGTTTGGCAACAATGGCTTTCAGATATGGATTTGCATAAATATTTCGAGTGCGTTTCGCTCTCGCACCGGATCCAGAATATAAATTGAAAGTCATAGGAAAATGGCTACAACGCTGCGGCCAACGTTTAATGGTCTCTACATTAGAATTCAGGAATTATATGGGATACGATATTTTGGGGGGGTTTAATGACAACAGTAAAGATTCTTATTGAGTTTGAGTTTTCCATGGAAATATCCATTATGTATTTTCAAAAGAATAGGATATTCATTCATTTAGATATTTTGTCCAAATATTTGTGTCATTTTTGACATGTGGTTTTCCGTTCTTATAGCTATGGAACCTTAGAAGACAAAGTCTTAAAAATAAAGAGATTAAATAAAAATCTCCAGTCACTGCAGCTGTTGAGAGAATATCTTGTCTGAAGTGTGATGTAAGATGGACTTTGCCGATTCTGGAACCGAGACTGTGAAATATAGAGAACTGAATAATTACGACAGGTAAAGAGCCGGATTTTTTGAAAAAAGGCACTCAGAAAAATTGGAAAAAATTGCTAAATCACCCCAAATTGCTTAATACGATTTTATTTCTAGAATTATAAGTCACAATGAGCTGAAATTTTCAGGGATTGGAGTCCTCTATTGGTATAAGAATCGCTAAAAAGTTCAGCTTTCTATCTGTGATAGGAAAAAAATTATGACCTCTCAAATTTCAAAATTTTTTTTGTTAAGATTTTGTGTTCTAATGGTCTTTTGGGATCCACCGAACTCCATACACTAAATTATTCCGAGATTTAAAGCCGGATTCTATGGAAAAAGGCACTCAGAAAAATTGAAAATTTGATAAATCTCCCAAAATTGTTTAACACAATTTTATTTCTGGAACTATAAGTCCAAATGTGCTGAATTTTTCAGGGATTGTAGTCCTCTAGTGGGATAAGAATCGCTGAACATTTCAGCTTTCTATCTCTATTAGAAAAAAAGTTTTGACCTTCCAAAGTTTTCCAAAATCTAAATCATAAGGTAAGCTACCTTAGTACTAACCATGAAATTACACAATTTTTTTTTGAGATTTTGTATCCTGATGGTCTTTCAGGATCCCTCGAACTCCATACACTAAATTATTCTGAGATTTGGAGCTGGATTCTATGGAAAAAGGCACTCAGAAAAATTGATAAATCACCCCAAATTGCTTAACACGATTTTATTTCTGGAACTAAAGTCCAAATTTTCAGGGATTGTAATCCTCTATTGGCGGGATAAGAAGCGCTGAAAATTTCAGCTTTCTATCTCTTATTTTAAAAAAAATAATGATTTTTTAAAGTTTACAAAAATCAAATCATGAGGTTTTTTATGTTGAAACACCCTGGATGCATGTTTTGGTAAGTTTGCATACGGAATTTGTAGGTTTATTTATTCTCCTTTTCCAGAAGAGGCATACTTGAACTTGGTTGGTAGAAAATTTGATTAGTCCTTGAACCAAATGATGGAAACTATGCAGAGGCATCACTTAAATCAAAGATTAAATTAAAGATTTATTGTTACGTCTTTTGTCGTATTATCTAGGTATTGAGACCTCTTCCAAAAATCTACAAGAGAACAAATTACTTTTAAAATATATTAGCAAAGACGCAGAAGCACTGCAATACCTATCATAAAATATCACGTGAGCGACACAGACAAATCAGCAATTAATAGAGCAGTATATAAAGATTGCAAGTTCATATATACAATTGACAAAAAGTGGATAATCTTACAAATTCTGACTTTATATAATAAGTTAATGTTCAAGACAAATAAGTGGATTGTTGCCGAGCTTATGGGTGGACCTCTGCGGGACGAGCGCAGCGAGTTCCTCAGCCATCTAATCACCAATATACTATTGAACTGTGCAAGTAAGAAATTCACCTGAAATGTGTAATTTTTAGACTAATGAGAATAACGTACATTTGAGTGAGTCAATTTGGTATCGTAATTAAACAACATATTGATGAATAGTTGGTCCACCCATAAGTTCCGCAACAATCCACTCGTTTGTACTTAAATAATTTATCACAATATATTACTAGTTTGGTAAAGTAATATTACTAATTCCTGTTAAAAGGCCAATTGACAAAAAGTGGTTAATCTTCAAAATTCTGACTTCATATAATAAGTTATCGTTCAAGTACAAAAAGTGGATTATTGCGGAACTTATGGGTGGACCTCTGCGGGACGAGCGCAGCGAGTGCCGCAGTCATCTAATCACCAATATACGGTTGAACAGTTCAAGTAAGACATTCACCTGAAACGTGTAATTTTTTAAACTAATGAGAATAACGCACATTTGAGTAAGGGCGAGTATTATAAAACTGCTTTGACAGTTAACTTAAAGTTAACTTTTTGAATTACATGTAATTTCAATAATTAACTTTAAGTTAACTCTCAAAGTAGTTTTATAATACCTGCCCTAAGTCAGTTAAGTATCGTAATTAAACAACATATTGATGATTAGATGGCAGCGGAACTCGCTGTGCTCGTCCCGCAGAGGACCACCCATAAGTTCCGCAACAATTCACTCATTTGTAATAACTTGTCACATTATGTTACTAATTTGGTAAAGTACATTACTTATTTCTGTTGGAAGGTAAATTGACAAAAAGTGAATAATCATAATCTTATAAATTTTGATTTTATATAATAAGTTATTGTTCAAGTACAAATAAGTGAATTATTGCAAAATTTATAGGTGGACCTCTGTGGGACGAGCGTAGCCATCTATTCACCAATATACTGTTGAACTATTCAAATAAGACACTCACCTGAAACTTGTAGTTTTTGAACTAATGAGAATAACTGACATTTGAGTGAGTCAGGTTAGTATTATATGAACAACGTAATAATGAAGAGATGACTGCGGAATCGCTGCGCTCGTCCTGCAGAGGTCCACCCATAAATTCCGCAACTATCCACTCGTTTGTACTTGAATAACTTGTCACATTATGTTACTAGTTTGGTAAAGTAACATTACTAATTCCTGTCAAAAGGCAAATGGACAAAAAGTAGATAATCTCAAAAATTCTGACTCTATATAATAAGTTATTGTTCAAGTACAGGGTATTTCTTTATATATTGACACCCCACCTACAGCCTTCACCTTTACAAATAAATGAAAGGTGTAAATACAAAAGTTGTACAGTATTGGCTACATTTTTAGAATCCATGGTCAGAAACAAAAATTGAATGTCAGAAATGTGAAATGTTGCATGCTTTCAGCTTTTTCCAAATGGGATGCCTTATATTTGGTTCCATATTCTTGAAGAGCACAATTTCCCGATTCCAATATTTGGTTAAGTCGTCTTCAACATATTTGATTCTAAAAATTTTAAAAATGCTATATATATAATGCTATATCAGAGAAACCAAGTAGGTACATACCTTGAATTTTACCTGCAGCTTTCATCTTTATAGGTAGAATGGTTCAGAAAATCAGAAGTAGGATAGTATTTTTGCAATTTTTGGAGCCGAATATATGAGAGACTGTTCAATTAAATATAGACAAATTATATATTTTTGGAATCGGAGCATTGTGCTCTTCAAGAATATAGAATGAAATATAGGGCTTCCCATCTGAAAAAAGCTGGAAGCATGCAAAATTTCACATTTCTGACATTAAAATTTTACTTCTGACCATGGTCTAAAAATTCAGCCAAAACTGTACAACTTTTGTATTTACACCTTTTTTTACCTGTAAAGGTGGGGTGTAGGTGGGGTGTCAATATACAGTGTGTCAATTTGAAAACTTCCCACCCCTATTATTTCAGAGTAGAAAAATTTTCACAAAAATCCCAGAAACACGTCAACTATAATTTGAAAGGGGATGAGTTTTTATGCAAAAGTCACCACCCCTCTTTTAACCTCCCAATCCCCAGAACCACCCCCTAGAAAATCTTAAATGGGAAGGGGGGTCAAGTGATACATCATATTGGAGGGTTTTTAATTCTATAAATTTTGGTGCTAAATTTTAATCCCTAAGTTCAAATAGTTTTGGAAATATTGACAGTTGAAAATTGACTTTTTTGCAACTTTGACAGGCTGTAAAACCTAAACGGTTAATTTTAGAGGTAAATCGATTTTACATTCCTATCTTAGATTTTCATAAACTATCATTTGACACCAACTTCGAATTTAACTGGAGATTAAATTTTTAACCGAAATTTTTGATCATGGATTGAATTCGAAGTTGCTGTCAAATGATAGTTTATAAAAATCTAATACAAGAATGTGAGATCGGTTTTCCTTTAAAATTAACCGTTTAGGTTTTACAGCCTGTCATAGTTGCAAAAAAGTCAATTTTCAACTGTCAATATTTCCAAAACAGTTGAACTGAAAATTTAGCACCAAAATTTATGGAATTAAAAACCCTCCAATATGATGTATCACTTGACCCCCCTTCCCATTTAAGA